TTTAGGGAAATAATAAAGAAACTAAAGAATAAACTATCAAGTTAGAAGGCCAAAACCCTCACCCTTGTTGGCAGAATCACTCTTATCCAATCTGTAACCTCTGTCATACCTAGTTACAGTATGCAGACAATGGAATTTCCTAGAAGTTTATGTGATGATATTGATCGAATTAATAGAAACTTCCTTTGGGGAAAGACTAACAACACTAAGAAGGTTCATATGGTTAATTGGGATAATGTTTGTAGAAGTAAAACTGTGGGCGAGCTGGGAATTAGGAAGAATAGGGACCAGAATGCAGCCCTCTTAACCAAACTTGAGTGGAAAATGTTGAGTGAGAAAGACAAGCTTTGGTGTAAAGTGCTCCAATCTAAGTATTTAGGTAACAATAGAATTTTTAATTGGCCTCTCGAAAGAAGATCCTCCCATGTTTGGAAGAGTATCTGTCACAATAGAGATACCTTGAGGAAAGGTGTGAAGTGGATTGTTGGAAATGGTGAGAATATCTCTCTGTGGAATGACTGGTGGTGTGGAGAACAACCTTTATACCTTACTCATGGCCCCAATTAGATCAATGATCAACTGAAAGTTAGTGATGTCCTTGATGAAGAGAATAACTGGGATACTGCTAAATTGACTGCCCTTGTCAGTCCTCAGGCCATGCAAGAGATTCTTAAAATTCATAGGCCTAGATTTGTGACCTTCACTGATACTCCTTCTTGGGCTGGATCAACCTGTGGTATCTACACTACTGCTTCTACTTATAAGATTATCTCTAACCAGACTGCTGCTAGAGGTGATTGGAATTGGCTCTAGAAAATTAAAGTCCCTAAAAAACTGAAGAGGTTTATCTGGCTGGTCCTCAAGGGTAGATTGCTTACTAATCACATGAGATTGGTGAGAAATATGGTAGTCTCAGATATGTGTCCCAGATGCGGTTCAGACAGTAAAGACATGGATCATCTTCTCAGAAAATGTAATTTCTCCAAAATTGTTTGGTTTGAAGTTAAAGACACTAACTGGTGGGAGGAGGGCTGCTGTCAGCCTTTTCTTGAATGGGTTACTTCCAATTTGAAAAATAAAAGTCTGTTTTTTGGTAAAAAATGGCATGTTGTCTTTATCTCTACACTTTGGCAGATCTGGAAAGACCAAAACCAACTTGTTTTTGAAAGCCAATCCACTCTCATTCAAGTTTGTCTTAAGAGCATAAGAAATTATGCTCATGAAATTAATGAGGCATTTCAATCTGCCTTTCACCCAGGGTTCTCTTGACCTATAGTAATTAAATGGAACTCTTCTCCTGCGGGTAAATTGAAACTAAATGTTGATGGCTGTTTAAAAGGGGATCCAAGTCAAGCTGGATATGGTGGCCTTCTGCAGGATGAAACTGGCATATGGCTATGGGGATTCTATGGAAAATTAGGCCATTGTTCAAGTCTTGAAGTTGAACTATGGGCGATATACAGGAGCCTCACCATCCTCTTCTAAAAAGGCATAAAGGAGGTTGAAATTGAGTCAGATTCTAAACTAGCAATTAGCCAGATCAGAGATGGACCCAGTCACAATTCACCATATCGAGCCCTTATTGAAGATGCAAAATTTCTCCTGTCAAGGTGTAACTGCTCACTGCATCACACTCTCAGAGAAGGCAACAAATGTGCAGATAAGCTTGCCAACATAGGAGTTACACAGGACGAACATATTGTGGTGCTTGACGATCCTCCTGAGAAACTGAAAGCCCTGCTTATAGATGATATAACTAGTGCTAGTGAGATGACGGACTAATTTATCTGTTTTGTGTATTAGTTTCCCATGTTCCCCGCTGTTGTTGTTTTCTGATCTTCTAATGAATCAGGAAATAAAAAATAAAAAAAATGAGAGAATCGAGCGTGACCTACGAGTGTATACCCCAAGTACATGAAATTGGAAATGAATTCTCTTCCGTCCACACTTGACCGTATTATTGGATATTTGGAGTCCATTATACATCTCATTTTAATAATTTAAATAATTTAATAAGTAAACTTTGTCAAATATTTTATCTTTATACAAAAAAAGAGATAAATTATAAATACATTTCTTAAGATTTGATTAAAATACGAATTATCCCTGTAGTTTTGAAAATGGCATTCCACCCCTTCAGGTTTCTAATTTCGTAACAAATTGTCCCTTTTATTAATAAATCACGAAATCAATTAACAGTTTTTAATGATATCAGAAATATGTTTCAATTAATAATTTAGGTAATTTTATTATTATATTAGAGAGCAATTATGAATTTTATTTTTTTAGTTAATTCCGTTAAACAAAAAATTCTAACAAGGGAGTATTTGTAATTTTTGAAATCATAGGGGACAATCTGTACTTTAATCAAACCTCAGGGATGTATTTGTAATTTATCCAAAAAAAATTAAGTTGATCATATATTAATAATTCCTTAATCAGAATATGTTTTTGTTAATAATTTATTTTTAAAATATGATATGATTAAAAAATTATTGATATTCAATCAATGCAATTTTTTAAAAAATAAAATACTCAATAAACTTTACACATTAAATAATTTAAATTATCAAAATAAAATTCATATTTCATTTTTCATTGTTCCAAATTATTAGTCTTATTTCAAAAATTAAGGACTAAAATAATATAAATTTTTTATTGTGCCATTATTTTAAATTCATTAATAATATAAAAAGTACAATTATGACATTGATATTTTCAAAAACGGTCGTATTACATGCATTAATTAGTGTACTAACTAGTGTTACAGCAGTTATGACATTATTATTGACACCACTCATTAATAACATTACAAATATAAAAAAAAAAACTTAAATTATATCACATCATCAATTGGTAAATTAATTAATATATTAATTGGTACATATAACATTATGGGAGACTTATTTATAAGTCATTTTTCAGACACTTATGGTAGGCTAAATCTTGTGTAATTTCTTATAGAGTCTCAAGTCCTATTTAGATAGGAATGTATTCCACAAGATCTTACATAAACGTAACGTGACGTGACACTTACATAAACTTAAGGTAACGTGTCACCTATATAAACGTAACGTAACGTGACACCTACATAAACGTAACGTAACGTGTTACGTTACATTTCGCAAACTTAATGAGCTTTTATTTTTTTAAATTAAATGTAAAAATGTTGCTGGTTTATGTTGGTGTCACGTTACGTTTGAATGTTACCATAGATCATAGATGTCACGTTACGTTTATGTAGGTGTCACGTTACGTTAAGTTATATAGATATGATATATGGCAACATTCAATTTCCTCCCACAGGACTTATGGGAACATAAGTTTTTTAGTAGCACCATATGTAGCATAAGTCTTCCTAATAGAACTTATAAATAATTTTTCCTAAAAATATACTATCAAAAAATAAATTTAAAATACTAAGGGAGATTTATTTATAAGTTTTTTTTCAGGCTAAGTCTTATGTAATTTCTTATAGAGTCTTAAGTCCTATTTAGATAGGAATGTATTCCAGAAGATCTTATATAAGCATAACGTGACGTGACATTTACATAAACGTAATGTAACGTGACACATACATAAACGTAACGTAACGTGACACCTATATAAACGTAACGTAACGTGACACCTACATAAACGTAATGTGACACCTACATAAACGTAACGTAACGTGTCACGTTACGTTTCGCAAACTTAATGAGTTTTTTTTTTTTTTTAAATTGAATGTGAAAATGTTACTGGTTTATGTTGGTGTCACGTTACGTTTCATATAAATATGATCTATATAAGAAATTGAATGTTGCCACAGATCATAGGTGTCACGTTACGTTACGTTTATGTAGATATGATCTATGACAATATTCAATTTTCTATTGCCAATTTCTTATATAAGAAATTGAATGTTGCCATGGATCATAGGTGTCACGTTATGTTTATGTAGGTGTCACGTTACGTTACGTTTATGTAGATATGATCTATGATAATATTTAATTTCCTATATTTGGTTTTACTATTATTTATGATATTAACAACTAATATTGAGGGTAAATGTGTCAACAAACTCTCCATAGAACTTATGGGAACATAAATTTTTTAGTAGGACCATATGTAGCATAAGTCTTCTTAATAGCACTTATAAATAATTTTTCCTAAATTTTATACAAATTTTGGGGAGTAACTATTTTATAAATGGATTGGAAAATTAAAAAAGAAGATACGTTGAGACAGAAATGATATATTTTAGTAGAGAAATTCTATAAAACATATTGCAAAAAAAGTGTCTATCATATGTCGCAATTATGATTTTCGTGATCTTTAGTTATAACACATTATAGTGTTAGATATAATTGAGTTATAACTTCTTGTAGTTTTTATTTTGGTTATGACTATATATCAAGTAATAGTTAGTTATGACTCATTCTGATATTAATTATGACCTATTGTAATTTTTTTTATTTTTTTAATTGGTGATTTGTTATGCGAATTTGATTTATGTATTAATAAAATTAATCGTTTGTATATATATATATATACACATATGTATTTTATTCTACTTCTTTATTAGTTCAGTTAATTATCTGAATAGTTTTTTTTAGATGGGTGAATTATTTCAGTATTTGTTTTATATTTATCTGTTGAGAAAAACTACACATCATAAATTTTTATTTTATAAATTCAAAATAAAAATTTATATTTTAATCACAACAATGTGGGCTCACACTCCTAATTTATTATTAGAATTTTGCAAGAGATTTCAAATGAATTATCAAATATTTTACCAAACTTAGGTTTGGAACTCACACAAATTAATTTGAATTATATTTTTTATAAACCGCCAATCCGCCCGAACCGCCAAGGCAAATCCGCCATTATTTGCCAACCGAACTGCCGGTTTTTGATAAGGAAAATGGCAAATTCTAGTGACACTTTTATCAATCCGCCACCCGCCATACGGTTTCTATTTTTCTCTCAAACCGCACCGACCCGCACCGCGCGCACCCCTAATCACCATCACCACCTCCATTCGCGATAATCACCGGAGTCGCCGGAACAGAATAATCAGTCACCGACGAAAACTCACCATCACCATCATCATCTTCTTCGACCATCTCGATCACATCCTCAATCTCCCTCACCACCTCCCCCATCTCCGGCCTCTTCTCCGGCGACTTCTCACAACACTTTATCGCCACCTCCAACAACCTCACCATCCCACTATTCGCCCCTCTCTCCGCCGCAATCTCCCCATCGAAGATCTCCGCCGTCCATTCCTCCCTCACCGCCCTATGCACCCAGCTTCCCAGATCTACACAGTTCACTCCCACCGGAGCACCATGGGCCGATACCCTACCCGTCAGGAGCTCCAAAACGAAGCACCCGAAGCTCCAGACATCGGATTTGGGGGAGACTCGCTTGTGGATCTGGTACTCCGGCGATTTGTAGGAGACCATGCGTTGGGAGGCGATGGGGAGAGCGATGAGAGAGGTGAGACCGTAGTCGGAGACGAGGACGGCGTCGTTTTGGTCGAGGAGGACGTTGGAGGATTTTAGGTTTCCGTGAGGAGCGGTGATGTGTGGTTGTGATGAGAAGGGGTTGAGGTGGAGGTAGTGTAGAGCTCGAGCGACTGCGTGGGCTACTGATAGTCTGGCACTCCACCGGAATGGGATTCGGTTCTTTGTTCCTCTTCCTCCTGTGTATAATATTTGCCATTAATGTTATTATTAGTGAGAGTGGAAAAAGAAATTGTGAAAGATTGTTAAATAAAGTTACAAAGTTCAGAAAATTTGCCATGAATTTTAATCAAATAAAGAGGGGGGGTGAAAGTTCGATCCACGTTTTGTGAGATTTAATGGGTGTTTGGGTTTATTTTATTTATTTATACTTATTTTCATTTTTGGTGATTTTTTTTTTCATGCCATGAATCTATTTTGGGTTGGTTTTATCACTCCATACTTGCATGATGCACTTGTAATGTTAATCCCCTAAACTAGCTTCATATGCTCCATGCCATGCCATGTCATTTTAGCTTGTTTAGTTTACATTCCAGCATGTATTTGGTCATCATTTGGCATGTTATAACCCTATCCATAGTTGGTTTAATCATCCTTTGCATGCTCCATATAGGTGTTGAACAAATCATGTTTACTAGCCCTTTGTGCATGATGTTTTGACTCATCATACTAGCATATTTCGGCTTTGCTCAAACTTGATTTTATGCTTATTTTGAAGTGTTCTACGACTATTTTGGGCTACCATGGCCATATCACTCATGCTTTGTATAGCTATAGTGTAAATGCTTAGGCTAGTTTTGGGTTTTGAGGCCTCTATCATGCCATACATGTGATGTTTACATGCCTTGCCCTCATTCCACATACTATTTCAGTCCATGAAATATTGTTGTTCACTCGCATTTGACATGCCTTGAATGCTTTGTATAGCTTGTGCTTTATGCCTCAAGAATGAGCTTTTGTGCATGCCATTAAGCCTAAGCCTT